AAAAAAAAAAAAAAAAAGAATCTCTTCTCCTGGCATTTCCCAAGGTAAAACGCACACGTGCGTGCACACACACACAGAAACCAAACCTTCCCATTCCCCAACACGGGTTCTTCCTTTTGCTTGTTCAAGGGATGCTGCTAGGATCTGAGAATCCTAGAGCCTGATGAACATTGAGGGTCATTTTCCAGCCCCCTCGCTCAAATGACGGAGGCCCTGTAGGTCTAGGTGACAGGCCCAAGGTCACGCGCAGGGAATCAGCGTGGGCTTATTGTGTCTCTGTTTCCTTGGAGTGTGGCCCAGTGCTTGCCACACAGTAGGTACCCTTAGGTTGTTTGGGTTTGGGGTGAAGGGATGACAGCCAGGAGGAGAACTCCCGTGTTTGACTTCTGGGCACATTCTCTTTCATCATCTCACACGCATTTCCAAGATTTTTTTAAAAACTCATTTCAGCTGGTGTTGATTTGTCTTCCGGCTGTGTCTGCCCGGCTCTTCCTGACTCAGCATTTCGCTGGAAACATATTTAGAAAGGGCATCGGCAGCAAAGGCAGCAGACACGTGGCCAGACACCGGCCTCCATGTTCAAGCGAGCCTTTGGCATCAGCGTCTGGCTCCAGGGGCGGGCAGAGAAAGCAACGGGATATGAGTAGCCAGGTCCCTCTTGGAGCCCCCTCTGGTGCCTCTCTAGCCGCGGTTCCATCTTCTGTATTCCAAGGGTGGGAGGCCTGTAAAAATGCTACTGGTTTAAACTTGTCGCATGTCACTGTAGTTTGGTGTGAGCCGTGTAGCTTGTTCCTCCCCTCTTCTCAGCCTGATGCTGATTTGCAAAGAGCACATCTGGCATTGGAAATTATTTATCTGGCCAGGGCGAGAGGGCGTGGCTTCTAAAAATATTCACATAGTCTGTCGGCAGAAAGAATGAGAGCAATGTGCTTCTTTGGGTTGCATTCCGTACTCCGGAGAAGCCTGCTAAAGCCTCTGCGGAGTAAGCCTATGTCTACGAAAATAGATACCCAGCATTGCATTAATTCGCAATTAATAAAAATGGGCCAGATTCACATCCCACTCTCTGGGAGAATGGAATGCCGACAATTCCCATAGAAGGGTCCTGTAAAAATGTCTTACAATAAGAAGAGGTCCAAGCACTGGGGTCAGCTCGCCTCCTCAAAGAGGGCTGGGAATTTGGTGAGCTCCCAGGGCTCAGAGTAGAGGGGCAGAGGGGAAATGGCCTGTTGCCCCTGATGACAATGGAATCGCCGCTGCTGCGGACAAGAAAAGCAGCTTTGAATGGCCAGGGCTAAGATGAGCTAGAAATCTCAGAGGCTGAACAAGGCCAAACGGGGCAGCTCGGGATATGGCCCCTGGGCTTTGATTATATGTGTGTGAGAACTCTGCATTCTTGCATTAATTAACCCATCGGTTTGTTTGTTCATTCATCCATTTATGTATGTGTTTGTGTACACGTGTGTATCCACGCATGCCCACATTCTCTCCTCTATTCCTGCACTTACGCAGTCAGCAAACTGGGTGTCTCCTGGGGGCAGGATATCCTCGACCACAGATATTTACTAAGTTCCTACTATGCACCCGGCCCTGTGCAGGATGCTGGCATTCCAGGTCCTTATCATGGAGCTCGGAATCTTGAAGCTGTTCAGCCAGCAGTAACAAGGGGCCAGGAGAAGGATATGGAGATGAGTGAGGAAGATAAGGTACCTGCCTTAGTGGACTTAGAATTCCACTTGGGGACACAAGCAGCAGACAAATAAATACAGAATGTAATTGTCTGGTGGCGAAGAGAATCCGTGCAGAGTGAGGGCGGGGGCTCGCAGGTGCTTTTAGCTAGGGTGGTCAGAGAAAGCAACTTGCGTAGGACTCACACTCTTCAAATCCACTGAGCTCTCTCTGACTCCCTGGCCTTTGCACACATGGATCCCTGTGCTTGGTATGCTCTTCCCACTGCTCTTTGCCTGCCCCTCCTTTCAGTCTCAGCTTGAATGCCTCTTCTTCCAGGAAGCCTTCCCTGATCCTCCTTTCTCGGCAGGGCCACATGGCCCTGCTATGTGCCTCATAGTGCCCTGTGTAGTGTTCTGGAAGCATTAAGCAGGAAGTGGGGCGTCTGTTAACTATAAACGGACCAAAAAGCCTTTCCTGAGGCAGTGGTGAGTCGTGACAGGTTGCTCACTGGGGTCCCCTGAGAGGCTGCATCCTGGAGGTGCCCTCAGTGAAGAGCTTCCCCGGATCGCTTGGGGTCGATCATTTCCCAGCTGGTACTGAAGCTGGAGCAGGGAAGGATTAATTAACTGCCGAAGTTCAGTGCTGGTAAGAGGTAGGGCTGGGATTTGAACCCAAACCCTCAAACCCCGCATCCTTTACTTCTCCCATCGTGCAGTGCAGCCTCTCACTCTGGGCATGCCTATTCCAGAAGTGGGTGACAATAATTCCTCTGGGCTCTGGGGTGGGCACTGGGTCTTAGCAAATAATTGTTAAGCAGACCAAACCATCAGCAGTGACTTGCCGTCATCTAGAATCAGCTGGTACGGGGACTGTTCCAAGGGCTTTTCATCCCTGTTTTTCAGTCCCCACACAGCTTTCTGAGGTGGGTTCTGTGATTATTCCCACTTTGCAGATGAGGAGACTGAGTGACTTGGCAGGGCCCGCCCATCACCCAGGAGGGCCAAGTCCAAGGCTAGCCCCAGGTTCTTCTGATCTGTCCAGCCCACTGTACTTCCTCTCAGACACTGCAAAAGACCATCAGCCCTTCACTTATATTATTGACCTCCTGAGTGTTTTCCCCCAGCGTTTACCCACCAGCATCCGGATACTTCCTTTTTCATCCGGTGAGCTCACAGCGATTATTCACAGAGATCTGAGGTTAGCCCCCCTTTAGGTACTGCGGAGAAGTGGACCCATGGAATATTTATCCTTTCGCGTCTGGCTTACTTCACTTAGCTCAGCGTCTTCATGGTGCATGTGAGTGTTGTAGTGAGGCTAATTGTTTGGAGATGTGAAGAATCACTTCCTACTTTGTCTTTCTAACTCTGATTTTTATCCAGCAGCACACACCTCTAGAACGGCTTGGTAATAACAAAAACTCCAAAAATTAAGGACCTGAGTGTTGGCTTCTCAGATCCTTTCCAGAGCCCAGGCTGAATGGGGTATCAGCCCAGTGTGGGGACATGATTGGGAGCCCGTAGCAGGCAGGGGACAATCCCATCATTAGCAAAAATGCAGAGTAGTTACCTTTCTCCGGAGGTTACTCGTGTGTCAGCAAAGTATGACTTTCATTCAGGTATTTTGTTTTATTATGTTTAAAATCACTGTTTCCCCAATTTCAACTTTTTCAAATTTCCCAAATTTCTCTTCTTTCGCTCTTTGGCTTTCGCCTTTCCCTCAAACCTTCTGTGTTCTTTTACTTAATATTTATATTTAGTGCAGTTCCCTTCTAAAAAGTATATTTATTTGAGGAAGAAGCTTTAAAATAATTACCTGAAATGGAAAAACCAGTGTCGTTTTGAGTATCGTGAGGTTGATAAAGCTACTATTACGGATTTAAGGGTGGGAAGCAAAGATTTCTTGAGGCCAATTTTTCTGTGCCAATGAGTGTTCCAAGCATTTTACATACTTTCCATCATTTAATTTTCACTACAACACTGTGGCAGTCAGTGCTCTTCCTACTTCCACTTTACAGATGAGAAATTGAGACGTTGAGAGGTTTTATACCCAGTGGCCATTCCTGCTCTCCTGGTCAATAGAGGCTCCGTAGGGCGTGAAATCTTAGAGCTGCCGCCCGAGTTTAGGTGGTTCAAGGTTTGAGAACTGTGTGTGTGTGTGTGTGTGTGTTGATTGATATTCCTTTTCCACTGAAGTGCCAAGAACACAGACTAATCTACATTTCTATGAATCTTCTGTCAGCGGCAAATGACAGTTTTACTGGGAGAGGCTGATAAACATCAGTCTGTGGAGATGGGAGTGGGCCCTAACATAAACACGCTTCTCAGGACGGCTGCAGAGAGAGCAAGCGTGCCCGGACTGGGAGCACTCTGGTGCGAGTGTGTGCGTGCAGGGATTTGCACGCTGCGGTGGTGGGTGCCTCTCACAGGTGTGTGTATTTGGAAGCCGCGGACATCGTGCATCGCGGGGTGGCAAGGGGATGTCTCCCCCCGCCCCCGGGCCCCGCACAGTGTTGGGGCCTCGCCTTGGCTGAGCTCCCCGAGGACAAAGCCCTGGGACGTGCTCCCAGGCTGTGGCCATTCCATTCCTTTTCTGATGGACAGGGCACACTTCATAAGCTTCCAACCAACTTCCTACAAGTGAATCAGAGGCCTTGCTAAGAAAGTGGAATTCCGGGCAATTAAATGCAATCTGAGCCTGGAGAATGCATTTTCTGAGGCTGGTTATACACCAGCTGCTTTCAATGCCATTCCATTCATTCATTCAGGGGCGACTTTTAGAATAGGCTTATTCTGGGGCTGCATTCAAAAGAAAGCCTCAGCACCATCGGGGCTGGGCTGCTCGCTGGGCATGTGAATTACTCAGCCTATTTATAAGCCTCCAGTGGAAATCCGCACGGAGAATGGCAGAAGCCCACAGTGGCTCGTCTCAGGAGGCTGGAGTGAAGGCTTGGAGGCACGGCTTTACGTTGCTGCCTGCTAGTCAGCTCTCCTGAGATGCCTCATCACATCTCCCTAAACCCCACTTTCCTGATCTGCTTAAAAAATGGAGGCAAAATAGCCAGAACATGAAATTTGCCATTTTAACCATGTTTAGCTGTACAGGTCAGTGGCATGAAGTATATCCACATTGTTGTGTAAATGGGCTTAGATCAGAGAGGGTGAAGCGCTCAGAACAGGGCCTGATCATTGGAGGTTGTTCAGTAAGCGGTGACTAAGTTTCTTCTTCTTCTGCATATTCTGTTAGTTGGCTTGTGCTTTTCAAAGTGTTTTGCCTGTTCGAGTGACAAGTATTTCTTGGTGGGGGCAGGTGCTAAACAGTGGATGACACAAAGATGAGGGAAAATGTGGAACATGCTACCTGCTTCAGGGGACTCAGAGTCTAATGGGCAAGGAGAATTTATTATTTATATATGTGTGTGTGTGTATGTTTATATATGCTACATATGTGTATACGTACATACGTATGTATATATATGACGTGTATGTATGTGATTATATGTACTTATGCACACAAGCGCGCCCGCATACACTCACACAGGGAAGGGTACTGCCATAAAGGATAATGAATAAAACACTTCAAGAAACCAGGAGAGAAGAGAGTGATTCCAAGGGGTGTGCAGTACGAAAGAAGCAGGGTTAGGTAGAGCATTTGTATGGAATTCGAAGACTTAAAGGTTTACGTTCATGGTCTCATCTTGAGTGATTGATTTTTTTTTTTTCTCACACTAATACTACGGTCCAGAACAGGAAAGGATCCTGGGTTCCCATTTTCTGGTGGGTAAACTGAGGCTCAGAGTAGCTAAGGGACCTGTTTCCATGTCACACAGATGGCTAATGGCAGAGTTTGGGCTGATATATGGTGACTCAAAATCTAGGACTCTGGGGTCCTAGATTTCACCTGGGCTCACGAGGTTGGCAAAATAGACTTCTGGGGAGAGTGGGGGTGGGTGAGAAGGGGTTGGTATCAGTGATGTCAGTCACGGTTTTCCAAAGTGTGACTTTTCGAAAGTCACTGTGGGTGCAATGTGATTTTAGGGGGGCTACAGATGGGCACTTCCCAGATTAATAGCTGTGTACTGTCTTGTGCGTCGGAAACGTCAAGGCTGTGATTCTGTGGCTGTTTCCCAGAGCGGGTCTAAACTGAAGTGAAGGTCAAGTCCATGCAGGGAGCGGTTTTGAGTAAGTAAGAGAACATGTGTGCAGATCCAGCAGAATCTGTTGTGGACACCAAAGATTGTGGCTGGGAGTCACTGGCCCAGTCCTGTGGGTGGACTGGTTCTTTTATGGAGACTAAGGACTGGAGAAAAAATGGTGACCCAGCTGGCAGACCCACCCAGGTGCCCTAGTGCTCAGATGATTCAAGGTAGGTACCCCCTGGAATGCTAACCGGCCTCTCTGGGTCTTGCTTCTCTTTGCAGATTGCTGACTTTGGACTTTCCAACCTGTACCAGAAGGACAAGTTCTTGCAAACCTTTTGTGGGAGCCCACTCTACGCTTCTCCTGAGATTGTCAATGGGAGACCTTACCGGGGGCCAGAGGTGAGCAAGTTGCTGGGGTGTATGGGGGTGGGGGTGGGGGAGCAAAGGGAGGAGGGAGGGCAGGAACTGGATATAAGAAATACTTCAAACAAACAAAAAGGCAAGCAAGTGGAGAAAGCTTTTCCTTATATGATTATAAAAGCCACAATATAGACACGTGGGGGAAAATTTGAAAAATCTAGAAAATGAAGTTACCTGCAATTTTCCCCACAAGAGATACCCACTTAATATTTTTGCCACTTTTCTTTTAGACTTTTTTCCAGTGTCGATCTCTGCATTTCAAAAAATAATGGCAATCATTATATACACGCGTATACATATGTGCATGTGGCCTTTTATTGACTTAAAATTATATTGTGACATATTTTGAATTTGTTATTACTAAAAAACGTGGTTTCTGAGGATGATATAATTTTTATTTTATGAATATACCATAATTTAATCAATTCCCTAGATTTAGACAGATTGTTTTCAGTTTTTCCCTGTTAGAACAAACCAAAAAAACAAGCAAAAAACCCCTAACTCTGCAATGAATATCTTTTTGCATATATCTTTGACAGCATGTATCTTCGATTAAGGAAACATAGGTTTTTTTTTTAAGATTTACTCATTTATTTTAGAGAGAAAGAGCATGAGTGGGAGGGTCAGAGGGAAGTGGAGAGAGAGAATCCCAAGCAGACTCTGCAGGACCTGATCCCAGGACCTGATCATGACCTGAGCCAAAACCAAGAGGCAGATGCTCAACCGACTGCACCACCCAGGCTCCGCTAAGGAAATACAGTTTTAATCGAACCTTCTAATGCACGAGAAATTCATTTCTTTATGTGCTTAAAGCTCTCAGGACCACTGTAAGAGATGTGTATGTGGAAATGCTATTTTGAAAATGGGTGAGTTGCGAGCGATTATGCTCTTTAAAAGGATGGTTCTCTTTACAGAGAGATCCATCCACTCCTTATCCTTTAAAGAGCAGCTGCTCGGTGGGTTGAAATGTTTCCCTCCAAATATTTATCTGTTGGAGAGTGTTTGAAGGCAGGGCTGGAGGGTGAAGAGAAGGATGCCAAGGGCCTCTACCAATTGCAGTGAAGAGAAAGTCTTTCTAAAATAAGAATGTAAGGGAGGAACATTGGATTCCATTTACAACACTCTAGAAACCTGATACTGTCCATTTATCATAGGTAATGAATGTTTCTTTGATCTTTGATGATCTCGCTCTGGGGTTCTAAGCTGGCGGCCTGTGATCTGGCTAGCAAACATGCTTTATCTGGCCACATTAGTCTTTCTAAAAGAAAATGGACCAAACATTCAATAATTGGGAGATTTTGCATTAAAGTCTGGTTTCTGACTTCCCGAAAGGATCTAGCAGTGCCGGGCCTACGTTACTGTGTGGCAGCAGTTAGCCAAGGGGAGGCTGCCTCCATCAGGTGGATCCATGCACTCCCACATCGTACCCCACATTCTCTCTTGCTTTGTTCATCTTGGTTGCGTGCCTGGCTCTTGTAAGCATTTGAGTTGGCAGCCCCTGATCCATTTGAAGAAGGTGCAGGAAGGCATTGGTGCCTGGATTTAGAGTGAACAGCCCCGTGTCCCAGTCCGGCACCCATCCTGGAGGCAGAGAGGGGCTCTGGAGAAATCAGTTAGCTTTCCTGTGCCTCAGTCTTCCCATCTGTCAGATGGGGTTGAAAATAATCCAGGCCCTCCCTGTTTCACAACATCATACTGAGGATCCAAGGAGATAATCTTTTTAAGAAAGTCCTTACACAGATTGGGACTCTTGGTCTCTGAGATGGAAAGGTCGGGCTCTGCAGCAGCTGACAGCCGCACCGCGTATCAATTGTCAGGCTGCAGTGGGAACCCATCCGCTGAGTGCTAAATTCAGTTCCTGGGGTCGTTGGGGGTGGCTGCTCACAGTCTGTGATCTAATGGATCGGAAGGCATCCCGGAACCTGCTTCTGAGCTCCTGTATGTCCCGTCTCTCTGCTCCAGGTGGACAGCTGGGCCCTGGGCGTGTTGCTTTACACTCTAGTTTACGGAACAATGCCCTTCGATGGTTTCGATCACAAAAACCTCATTCGGCAGATCAGCAGCGGAGAGTACCGGGAGCCTACGCAGCCGTCAGGTGCGTGCCCTCGGAGGCTCAGGGATTGAGCGGGAGTGGTTGGCTTATTTGAGTGTGTAGCTCACACTTTTTTGCTTTTGTTTTAACATCTGCAAGGAATCTCCTGCTTTTCCTCTTCTTTTTCTCTCCAGATTTTTGCCTTCTGGCAAAGCTGGCTTGCTAGGCTGCTCTGCCCAAACCTTCCCAAATGGAATTTCTAGAACAAATGTCCTCTACACCAGGCAACCTAGGAGTCCTGTGTGCTTGCTGTGTGAACTTGGGCAAGTCCCTTACCATGTGGATTCAGTTTCTCCACTATAAATTCACATTTTGGAAGAGATACCACATAAAGTCCTTTCTAGTCTACGTGGTTATATATACCACCTTCATTAGACTCAGGGCCATGAGGGTGGCAACTGCTCTTTTTCACCACTGTGCCCCCAGCCAGGGGCATGGCCCATGGGCGCTGTTTCATTATTCAGTATTTATTGCTATAACAACTCTATCCCCGACCTCCCCCACCGCCCTGAGTCAACTTGATGGTTTAAAGAACAACTAGGTACCCTGTCTCTCCATTCTCTGGGTTGGCTAGAGCTCTTCTGGCCATGCTTGGGTTGTTCCTACCGTGACATTTGGATGGCAGCTGGGCTGGGTCTGACTGGGGGACAGCTGCTCAGTGCTCCTCCACATGGGCTCCCTCTCCATGACATGCCTCTCCAGGCCCCTCTCTCCAGGAGGAATCCTCGACTTCTTCCACAGCAGCTCAGGGCTCTAAGGTGGAGGAAGAAGAAACTTCCAAGCCTTCTGTGCTGGGCAGGCAGATAATGTCACTTCTGCCACGCTCTATGGGTCAAGGCAACCAAGATCATAAGCTCCACCTCTTGCTAGGATGATGTGATGTGTGGATGGAAAGTGTGTGTCCACATGGTCATCTTTGGAAAGTAGTTAACGCAGACCTTCCTATGTAGACATGCTGCCCACGCGTGCACACGCACAGCTGATTTCTCATTCTTTGCGGTAGTTACATTTCACAAAGTTGCTATGAGCACGGAGTGAGTGAATACTGAGACCGCACTGCTCCTGGGGCAAATACAGGGCTCGAGCTCTGGTCACAGTACTGTTGTCAACTGATCAATATATAACCTTGTGTTATGTATATTTCTGTCCAGAGACACCTCATTTAAAACATCCCGTTGACTCATTCACATCAGACTCACAGCCAACAGCGCTGTGACTCATGCCTGAACGAAGCCTATCTAACACACGCACTTTCTCCGTAAGGCACATCACAGCCTTCTCGAACTTGGGAACCATAGTTAGCACGTTGGGCCATTTTACACAGTGAAATCACCAACAAAAAGGTCAAAAGTGTGAAAAACATGGACTATACAGGCTGTGAGAAGTACACCTGTTTACAGCATGAGAGTGGAAACAAGAAGGCAGGGAGGCGGCACCTCCTTCGACCTCAGGTGGGAACACACGTGCTGCGCTGGGGGTGACTCAAATTTTTTGCCACTTTGCAAATGGACACAAATGACAGGGAGAGTGAGTGCCCGGGTATTGATTTTGGGGCTACAAATACATTTTAGTGAGCAGGAGAATTTATAATACAGAATCGGTGAATAATGAATACATACACACATATATATATGTATGCATATGCATTCTTTTTTTTTCAATAGACCAGCCTGGGTTTTTGTTTGTTTGTTTGTTTGTTTTGTTTCTTGTTTTTTGTTGTTGTTGTTGTTTTTTGAGAAATTTCAGGTGACCCAACCAGTACCAACACAGCTCCTGGCACATTGCAGGAATTTAGAAAATATTTACTGAATGACTGAAGGAACATCCTGTTACTTTTCAGGGGTGCAGCTCACCCCTGATTTCATTGCCTGACCCCTGCCAGCTACTCATTAGTCCACATAAGTGGCTGAGGGGGAGGTGGCGCCTTCCCAGGATATAATTCACCTCCCTTTGGGGGAGCACAGTTTAATCTTATAAGTCAATTTATAAGCTGTGAGAGTCAGTTGGTTCCTGTGGCCTCCTCAACATCCCTTCGGGGCTTTCCCCTAATTCTCTGGCAGCCGAAATGTGCACATGGAATGTCTCAGCCAGGGCGTAAGCGGATAGCAGATCTAGATGAGCTCTCTGAGCTGACGGCTCGGTAGGCTGCAGCTTACGTCAGAGAGGGAGAGGAGGTGAGCTCGCTGGGCGTGGGTCTCAGCACCTGGCAAAAGCCTGGGGTAAGGCCAGCCTTGGGGATGGCACCTCTCACTGCCCACGTGTGCCATCCTTCTCTCTTTCCCTCTTTGATAAGGAGCCTCTTTCTCACCGTCTCAGCCTTAGATGTCCTTTTCATGCCGACACACTTTCCCCATGACCTTGAGCACTGCGTGTTTATACAAGCCCACCTTGGAGGACTACAGAAAAGCCAGGGTCACCTCCCCCTGGTTTCCCTTTTGGTAAAATAACATCCACCGAAGGAATGGTGGGGCCCTGCTTGGGGTCGGGTCTGAAATCTGTTCCAGTTCCCTGGCCTTCCCCATTTAATGAAGATCTGAGTTGATGGAGAGCTCGGTAGTTCTAGAACAGTCCTTCGTTTCTGTGGAAAAACATGCCAGGGTGTGACCGTGCCCTGGCCTGTGGTTGTGTCCCGATGATGCTTTCCGTGTACCGTCTGGAAGGCTTTGGCTCCTGCTCCCTGGTGCAGCAGGACCAGGTCTCCTGCCAGAGTGCACGTGTCCCCTCACCCCTGCAGCGTCAGCCCCGTCAAGGCCAAAGGCTTCCATGTGACGCATCCTTCTTTTTCTCTTGTGCCACAGATGCCCGAGGACTCATTCGGTGGATGCTGATGGTGAACCCCGATCGCCGGGCCACCATCGAGGACATCGCCAACCACTGGTGGGTGAACTGGGGCTACAAGAGCAGCGTTTGTGACTGTGATGCGCTCCACAACTCTGAGTCGCCGCTCTTGGCTCGCATCATCGACTGGCACCACCGTTCCACAGGGCTGCAGGCTGAGGCCGAAGCCAAAATCAAGGGCCTGGCCAAGCCCGGGGCCTCCGAGGTCATGCTGGAGCGGCAGCGGTCCCTGAAAAAGTCCAAGAAAGAGAACGATTTTGCCCAGTCCGGCCAGGACTCGGTGCCCGAGAGCCCATCCAAGCTGAGTTCCAAGAGGCCCAAAGGGATCCTGAAGAAGCGAAGCAACAGTGAACATCGTTCCCACAGCACTGGCTTCATCGAAGGCGTCGTGAGCCCTGCCTTACCCTCTGCTTTCAAGATGGAGCCCGACTTGGGCCGGACCGCCGTGCCCCTCCCAAGCCCCCCTGAGGCGGAGGTGCCAGGCAAGCTCAGCCCCAAGCAGTCGGCCACGATGCCCAAGAAGGGCATCTTGAAGAAGACCCAGCAGAGAGAGTCAGGTTACTACTCGTCCCCGGAGCGCAGTGAGTCCTCGGAGCTGTTGGACAGTAACGACGGGCTGGGCAGTGGCCTCCCTTCCCCCAGCCCCCCGGACCCCGCCAGGGGGACGTCCCACGGCCTCTCGTGCCGCAGGAAGGGCATCTTGAAACACAGCAGCAAGTACTCAGCAGGGACCACGGACCCGGCCCTCGTCAGCCCTGAAATGCCCACACTGGAATCCTTGCTGGAGCCTGGCGTCCCCGCCGAGGGCCTCTCCCGGAGCTACAGCCGGCCCTCCAGCGTCATCAGTGACGACAGCGTCCTGTCCAGCGACTCCTTCGACTTGCTGGATTTGCAGGAGAATCGCCCTGCCCGCCAGCGCATCCGCAGCTGCGTCTCTGCTGAAAACTTCCTCCAGATCCAGGACTTTGAGGGGCTCCAGAACCGGCCCCGACCCCAGTACCTGAAGCGGTACCGGAACCGGCTGGGAGACAGCAGCTTCTCCCTCCTCATGGACATGGACGATGTGACTCAGGTCTACAAGAAAGCGCTGGAGATCTGCAACAAGCTTAACTAGCTCCCCGGGGGTGGTGGGGCTGGGTTGTGGGTGGGTTCGGGGGAGGCGTGGGAGCAATGACTTGTGCTAGTGAGCTGGTTACCTCTTTGCTGGCCTGTGACAATATGCTGAGAAAGGATTGGTGCCATCTTGGTTGGCCCAGTTTGCAGCCTTGAGCCAACACCTGAAAGGGAGAAGTGGGCTCTCTGCCAGTCCTGCCAACTGCCAGTCAGAATTTGGGTCCTAACTGGCATTTACTTTGTGGCACCTCCTAGAGGACCAGCTGTCCAGGGGAGGTGGTGTTGGCCAGCACGAAGAGGGTGGGGAGGAAGCATATGGGAGAGGGAACATATCCCTAAAAGTCATCCAAATGCTTCTGGAGGAAGGGCAAGAGAGACTGGGGCCATCTGCCTTGGATGAGCTCAGAACTTGCTTCTTCCCTCCTCACATGAGCTGGCTTGGTCTGACTGCATGGGGTTGGCAAGTAGATTTCAGCCACCTGAACTTGCATCGGTGATCGATTGATAGTGGCTGCTGGGTGTGCTGGTGTGAGTAGCCTAGACGCATGGGAAGGAGTGCTGTGATTGAATAGCAATGGCTGCCTTGGGAAAGGGAAGGGGGGCAGTAGCACTCATGCCATGCGGTGGCCATCCTTGACACGGCTAAGCCTTGAAAGTGTTGGGTTGAGGCATCCTGTGGGATCTATGCTTGTCTTTCATGCCACTCACGTGGCCTTTGTTAATTTGCTACTCTACCTGGAATGGAAGACAGGGTCTCGGGCAGAGTGAGAATGCTCTGAACACCGCTAAGGACTTAAGAGTCAGCCCGTGGTGATTTTGGGGCTTCTTGCTGTCTCCCACTTCTTTCCTGATGTCTGCCTTGCTCTTCAGCACAATCTCCCGAGGATGGACAGGGAAAAGAATGGTGGTGTCAGAGGTCAAAACTCTGGTGTGTAACAGAGCTTGGGACCCTCTGTGGTCTTTGTGCAGATGAATGGAAATTGATCCACACCAGCAAGAGGGCAACTTGTCAATTTCTTTAACATCTCACTGTTAACTGGAATGCTGCCTCTTGGGTTCTCACCTGCATGAATCAGATGTGACGCTGTCCACAGTCTCCAAGGAGTAACTGGCTCAACCATTTACCCTGTTTACTAATAGCAAACGGTTTCCCCATCCACCAAGTGTAGAATCCACAGAGGCGGGCGAGTTTGCTTCTAGGGAGTTAGTGTGTAGGTGGGATATTTGGATGAGGAAAGGAAGGTAGGCATAAGGTGCTCCCCCCATATCTAGGGATTCTGTCATGGGTTTGAAGTCCTAGACTCTGGGGGAAAAGAAAGTTCCACCCATTCAAATGAATAAGGTGTTGAAAGAGCACAGTGGGTTGGGAGGAAGCATACAGAAGAGGGAATATTTCCCAAGAAGCCAGCCAGATGGTTCTGGAGGAGGCAGGAAAGAGGTATAGCAGGACTCTTATCATAAAAAGTAATATAACTAGGTATTCAACTTCTAGACACCCAGATTACAGGTGGTAAGATGTCAGTCCCACAATGGGACATCTTCAGATACTGGGTTTGGAATTCATGGTCTCATTGGGGAATCTGGGATGCCTTCAGATCCTACTGGCCTGGGCAAATTGAAAGCCTTGTTTCAAGATGGTCGACCTCTGCTAGCTACAAAAATATATAAGGAGGACTAGTCTTGGGGGGGGGTATTTTTGGGAAAACCAACAGACAACAAACAGTTATAGGGAGATGCGAAAGAATTCACCGTAAGGCACTGAGAACGTTCATTGGAGTGAAACTGTCCTTTTCCTAAGGAGATGGCTCCATTTCTCCCCTTGTCACCAGCTCTGGGGTTGTGGCTTTGTGCACGCCTTCAGGTCAAGCTGAGTGGTGTGTTATGGGAAGCTCCTCCATTTTCTTTCTTTCAATTGCACCTCCTTCCTGAGCTCCGATATAGGTTCAAAGGGAAAAAAACTCTGTAGTTAGCAAATTGTGTGTGTGGGAAGTGTGGGTGCGTGGAGGGCATCTTGCAGCCTCCAAGCTCCCCATGCCTTGTCTCATTTTATGTGATCTGTTCCGGACAGCACCTATTGCCCCACGGCTGGTCCCGCATGCATGGCAGCTGGCCAAGTTCGTAGCTGTCAATACGCCTAAGGTATAACACCTACCTACTGGGTGATGTGTTTTTTCCTTTCGCCAAGTGATTGTGTCTGTTTAGTATTTTCCATCCTTCTAAAATGACACTATTAAGGAAAATCATTCTATTTCTCCCCTTCCCCCCCGAAAAACCCCACACATGCATGTTCTCTTTTGTCCACCAACCCAGACGGTGGATTGTGGCAAAGACCGTCCTCCACTCAGAGGCCGAGGGTCTGAGTTGAGTCCTGCTGTGCTGCTAACTAGATGGTGGCCTGAGGCACCTGCAGTGTTTGGGAAGCTAAGTTTTCCCTTTAATGAGAGCTGGAGGGGGGGCGACTAGCCCATCTCTCAGGCCCCCTGCCTGCTTCTGACATTCTGCTAACATCCTCTGATTCTACATACTGTGTGTTGACTCTGTCCTTTCAAGGAAAAACCTGGACTAGAGACAAAAGCCCTGACGCGTAGCTCCCTGCTTCCTGATTAAGTGCTATCATCCCTACCAGCCGATCCCCAACCAAGGAAGTCATGCTTGATTCATTTCCATGGAATTACAAGTGAGAGACACTTTTATGACCTGGTGGACCAAGCAGGAGATTCCATGTCAGCTCTCCTGGTCCTTTCCTGGCCTCTGTGGGCCTTTCTGTGTCTTAGTTTACACATCTGCCAAAGGAGTAGAATTATACTTCTTTTTACAGGTAAATTTTAAGGCATGATCAGTTTTCAGGAAGTGCTTCAAGACCCTAGGCGGAATGAAAATGCTGGTGCTCCCTGACTTTCCATCCCTGTTATAAGGCGGTGCTTCTTCAGATGATGGGGAGCACCTTCCAGGGGGAAATTCAGGGGAGTGTCGCCCTGGCCTGCTGTCTTGAGTACAAATGTGAATGATCAACTGACTGCTTATTGCCAAACTGGAGATGTTCTGTAGGGATTTACTGGCATGGTATCATTCCTAGAAGAAAAAGAAGAGAGAGAGAGAGAGAAAAAAACTTGACTGCACATTTTTTTTTTTTTAATCCGTGTTGTGACTTTTATTTAATTTCTATTTTTTTTTTGTTTTGGTAATAAAAAGTTGACTTTTTTATTTGAATTTGTCTTTTTTTTATTTATTGGTCTGAAAGACATTTCAAAGGTATTATAATAATATATTGGTGTAATTTAATTGGTGCAACATGCTTTACGGCTCCAGTCAAAATTGGTCTTTGTTCATTTGATTGGTTTGAGCCCAGAACAGCCTACAGGGGGGAAAAAGCTGGATAACCACCCAAAGTGTTTGTATTTTCATTGGAAACTGACTTTTGTTCTGTTTTTCGTTTCGTTTCGTTTTTTTTTTTTTTTTTGGTTTTGTTTTGTTTCCGTTTTTATTTTTAAATTAAATAAATTGCAATGAACTGAACTGAACTGGGACCCTGCTTCGTTATTTGGTTGTTTTCCTCTTAGTTAAGGAAGTAAGTGACAGAGTGGGTATAAGTAACAGAAACCCACCCAAGCTAGCTCAGGCACAGAGGGGGAATTTATTTGAAGTTTTTGGAAAGGGAAATGCAGCTAGCAGGGCAGCAGGAACGAGAACTGGAGGAGGAGGAGCCGAGAGAATGACAGGCCCTTTTTTCTGCTCCTCCTTGCACACCGGCTTTCTCCTCCTCCTCCTTTTGTAGCCTAGCTTTCTCCCTGATTTTATGACCCACCTTGGTTTACCTCACAGCTTCCAAATTTACATGTTCTCAGTTCTGAGTTCCAGAAGAGACGACTGACTGGGTTGCTTCAAACTGGACTAGAGACAGTATCGAAAGTTAATAGCCAGTCATGCTCTCTCGTTCTGGTTCAGCTCCCTCTGCCTGTCCCTTCTTCGGCAGCCCCCTCTGTTCCCAGGGCAGCCAGGCTGCTAATCTGATTGCTCAGAGTCCAAGATCAATGGGCATTATTTCCCAATGGGAAAAGCCACTGCCCTGCCTCTGATAAAATGGCACCCTGAGTCCCATTTTACCACTATTCCTTGCATGAACAGACCCTCCAGGAAGCTCTTAGAAAGAGGGTATATAATAGGGTAAGACTGGATCCCAGTTACAATAGCAAATGACATCAAACCCTACCCTAGTATCAAACATTAGAGTCACGCTCTGTGCTGAATAGCAGTGTTTGGGGATCCGTGTAAGAAAAGTCTGACTTTGCAAAGAAATTGCAACTTACACCCCTTATCTGGTCTACTGGGAGAACATCTGACACAGCTTGTCACATTTAGCAAATAAAACCACAGGACATCCAGTTAAGCAATGGATGATTTTTTTTTTTTTAAAGATTTTATTTATTTGAGAGAGAGAATGAGAGAGAGCATGAGAGGGAAGAGGGTCAGAAGGAGAAGCAGACTCCCCGCTGAGCAGGGAGCCCGATGCGGGACTCGATCCAGGGACTCAGGATCATGACCTGAGCCGAAGGCAGTCGCTTAACCAACTGAGCCACCCAGGCGCCCAACAATGGATGATTTTTTAGTGTAAGTATGTCCCATGCACTATTTGGGTCATGCTTATACTAAAAAAAAAAATTATTTATCTGAAATTCAAATTTAAATGGGCCTCCTGTATTTTATCTGGGAACCCAATCTGATGGAGTTTATTTGGCTAAAATGACCAGGCACCTGATAAGGTTGAGGGTTGGGGAATGGATGTTTATGATGTGGCCTGCCGAATTAGGACCTGTCTGTCTGTGCCTCTCCAGCTGGGCTGCAGTGGGAAGAATATCTCAATTCCGATTTGGACTTGCTGATTGTTAATGAGGCAAACTGCTTCGTGTCTTTGTGCCTCTGTTTTCTCATCTGTCTGATGGGTACATAGATTGCTACCTTTACCCAACTTTAATGGGTCCATGAAGAAGGAAAGAGCTAATTTCTACAAAGTTGCCTTCAGTGTAAAACTCATTATGAATGGGAATCCATAATCCTTTCATTACAGAGCAATAGTCACTGAATATAAGGGATAGGGAGGAAATAGGAGCAGCTGGAGGGGCATGGCTTACATGCCAACTGATAGGTTGGTGAGGTTAATGAGAAGTGGTCACTTTAAGGAGGAAGATTGAGAGAACTAATATTTATGGAGCTTCTTCAGGGTGCTCACTTCATCCTTACTCAGTGGCGAGTGGAAGAAACCTAGCTCAGACCATGTGAAGTAACAAGACAAATTTACTGCTTCATGTAACTGGGAAGTCTAAGGAATATGTCTCAGGCACAGCTAGATCCAGGGGTTCAAGAGATGCCATTGGCCTCTTTTTCACTCACTCTCCCTGGATGTGGGTTTCATTCCTAGGCAGGCTCTCTCCACATGGCGGTAAGATAGCTTCTGGTAGTAGTGCTGTTATGAGGTCCTTTAAGTGTGTGATCCTGAAGTCAGAGAGAGATACTTACTATCCCAGCATTTATGTGCCAAGGAAGGAGTGTGATTGGCTTTGCTGGGGGTCACGTGTCTCTCTCTTGCCTACTCATAGGGTCCAGATGGAGAGATGCTCTGATTGGCCCACCTGGATCATGTGCCTACCCTTGTGGTATACTTGAATGATCGCTCCTTCAGTATCACACGAAGTCAGGGGAGGGCGGCTCTGCCAAAGAAGGGATGCAGAGCTAATGAAACAAAGTTATACCTTTTGGGCCTCGATTTCGTCATCTATAAAATAGCATTACATAATCCCTGGCTTTCAGAGTTCTTTCTTTCTTTTTTTTCTTTCTTTCTTTCTTCTTTCTTTCTTTTTCTTTCTTTCTTTTCTTTCTTTCTTTCTTTCTTTCTTTCTTTCTTTCTTTCCTTTCTTTCTTTCTTTTCTTTCTTTCTTTCTTTCTCTTTCTTTCTTTCTTTCTTTCTTTCTTTCTTTCTTTCTTTCTTTCTTTCTTCTTTCTTTCTTTCTTCTTTTTCTTTCTTTCTTTCTTCTTTCTTTTTTAGTAGGCTCCATGCCCAGTAGTGGAATCCAACATGGGGCTTGAACTCATGATCCTGAGATCAAGACCTGAGTTGAGATCAAGAGTCAGATGTTTAGCCGACTGAGCCACCCAGGTGTTCTGACATTAGAAGATTTCTAATTTATACCGATAGTGTCAGGAAAGACAACAATATAAAACTATAGGGAGCAGATATATTCATTAGGAAGATTTTAGTTGTCAAATTAGTTATAATATGAGAAAATCCAGCTGAAACTGGTTTAAGCACAGAAAAGGTTTTATTAGCTCATATACCTTGAATTTTAGAAATAAGGTAGATTTCATGGTTACTTAGATCTAGTGGGAAAATGGACAATAAACAAACAAATAACCCCTCCCTAAAACAACAGATTATAGTAAGTGCTATGAAGGAAATGGACAGGGTGCCGAGATAGAGAATTAAGGGAGGAGGAACCTTTTGCAGAAAGAGTAGTCAGAGAAGCCATCTCTGGAGAGGTGACATTTGGGCAGAGATTTGAAGAATTAGCTATATGAAGAGCGAGTATTCCAGGCAAGGGGAACTGTATATACAAAGGCCCTGGGGTCTTCAAAACAGAGCTTTGTAGGGTTAATTTCTGGTCCATTGGCATAGGACAACCACGGTTCAGGGAGTGTGGTGTTTTGCTAAACATATGTGGCCAAGTTCTCACGTGGACTGGCTATGATCATCTAGGACTTTGTGTAGCCTTAATTACAAATGGCCGTTTCCTGTGACAGGTGGTCCCCAGATGAAATACATGCCATGATGTGCAATTTTAAATAAGAATATGTTTCCACAGCAGAAATTCACTGCCAATTTATTGAAATTTATGGAGAAGATGTTTTTAATCCGCACAATCATGCGAAGCTTGGGGCATGCAAGTGGAGCCGCAGTGGTGCTCTGTGAAGACCAGAAAGTGCAGACTAAGGTTTTCATGTCACAAAACCTGCCCCAAGCTGTCACAAATGTCTGGCTCCAGTGGGGACTTGTGGGGGAAATGAGCAATCAATATTTTTAAAATTGTGCCAATCCTTGTCCTAGTGATGAAAAATTTATGGTGCTCATCTCCACCTGACTGGGAAGATGCATTGTGTCTTGACCTGCTAGTTTTCCCATCCACTCCCTGTGCTAGTTTCCATTTGTGCTTTAGGCTGGATAGGCTCTATTATGCTAAAGTAACAAGCCCTGAGATGGCAGTGGCTCAGTATGATAAATGATTATTTCTTACTATCACCAAGTCCAGTATGTGTTGGGCAACTCTCTTTATCCTGTCTTCTCCGCGCAGGCACTCAGGGACCTGAGCTTCATCCATCCCGTGGGTCTGCCATCTTGGCGTCCTCTGTTTCTAGCTGTGCAAATGGGGGATAGAGAGAGCACAAGTGAGTACCTTTCAAGGGTCAGGCTTGAATGTGGGAACATCACGTGTACCCTTCTCCTCCTGGCTGCAACTCAGTCACCTGACCCCAGCCTGACTTCCTGGGAAGTCTTTGAGTCCGTAGTACTTAAAAAGTGGAAAATATAATGGAGTCAGATGGACACATTGCAATGGCTCTGTCACAGCTTCTGTCTGCTTCCCACAGGGAAGGGCAGCATAATATCAACAGATATTAACTGAGTGTTTACTGAGCTGCAGGCAGTGTGCTTACCCTTTACATGAATCATCTCTTCTAATGCTCCTTTTATGTCTTAATATTCCCTGATCTCCATTTTTACAGATGAGGAAACAGTGTTGGAAATGTGTAGTATCTTGCCGAAGTCACCCAACTAGTAAATGTGGAGCTGGAATCAAATACAAGCCTGGCTGACCAGCTTCTGAGCCCAAGCTCTTAACTGCTCTGTTGTGCCCCTGGGATGATCCTTAGGTCAGACTCCTTGATCATAAGCCCCATCTTGTCACCATCCTTGTCCATGTAAATGGCATTTTCCTGCAGGAGTTAAGTGGACATCATCAGGGATGACGACATCGACCCAAGTCAATGCACTCTCCAAACAAATATGGTGTCAGGTTCTAGAAGATTCAGTCTCAGTAGATAAAATGAATAGAATTGGTTCAGGTTTCTAGAGTGGAATGGGATGAAGGAGTGAGTCTTTCTCCATCCTGAGCACATGCTGTGGGGCAGTGGGCCCAGTGGGCTGGGTTTCTTCTGTCCAAATCTGTGTACTCACACACACCCAACTGTGCTCTATACGTTCTCTCCTGTGCTGATGGGCCTCAGGGGAGCCCCATTTCTGGGGACTGACAGCTCAAAGCAACTGCTTTAGAGCCATATGGAAACACAGGAGGCCAGGCTGGCTGTACGGACCCGCCTGGTATCTGGCATTGCAACAACTTCCATCACAAAAAACAGAACGTTGCCATGTCTTCAAAGCCCAGAGCAGGGTGATGATACAGGCATGATCTCAAATCCGATTTCCAGAGGAACACCTC